GTCTGTTCGAATGGTCCCATTAGCGGGCCGGGCAGACGTTAATTGGTGGCCCCGAGGCCAAAAATCCCACCCTGAGTGGTCGTCTATTTGAATGGTCCCATTAGCGGGCCGAGCAGAAGTTAATTGGTGACCCCCGAGGCTAAAAACTCCACCCTGACTAAGGCCTCCGGGCTGAGTGGTCACATGTATCGACCACTACTTCGAGGGTGGGCATGTGTTCGACGACAAAAATCCACCACGACTGAGGCCGTGAGGCTGGGTGGTCACATGTATCGACCACTACATCGAGGGTGGGCATGTGTTCGACGACAAAAATCTACCATGACTAAGGCCTTCGGGCTGGGTGGTCGATCCTAGTATTGGGTCGTCGAAGATATGGAGCCTATCTCGGAGACCTCAGAGGAAGGTCGATTGTTTTTGTCTAATTTGGTGTATGATTTAGATTTTGTCGAAATTATTTTTCAACCTCAGTGGCAGGTCCATGGAGTTTATTCGGAGTAATTCAAGGAGTTTATTCGAGGACCTCGGTGGCAGGTCAATGGTTTTTACCTGATTTTGGTTTTGTCGAATTCAGCTTTCAACTTCGGTGTGGTTTCAGGACATTCGGTTTTCGAGAGGATAAACAGCAGGGTTGAATTTCAAATTTTCAACTGAGGGGGCGATGATAGGACGAGGTGGTAGAAAAGATTTATCTTTGAATGAAGAGAGCTGGAACATGGTGGTCGAGAAACAATAGACGTAAATTCAAATTTTCAAATTCAAGATTTCGGGAAGAGATCGAGAAAATCTACCAAAGTAAGCAGATAGGGAGATAGCAAAGGAAAGTCGACATTCAAAAATGAGGAGCATAGAAATCTACTCTAGGAATCAAGGTTTGACCCCAATGGAGAGTCATTCGGCTCTAAGTGGTCGATTTTTGACCTAAGTGGTCGTTCGGCTCTTGGTGTTCGACCCCAATGGCGGGTCATTCGAATTTCGACCTCGGTGGTCGTTCAGCTTTTGGTGTTCGACCCCAATGGCGGGTCTCTCGGTTTTCGACCTCAGTGGTCGTTCGGCTTTTGGTGTTCGACCCCAGTGGCAGATCTCTCGATTTTTGACCTCGGTGGTCGTTCAGCTTTTGGTGTTCGACCCCAGTGGCGGGTCACTCGGTTTTCGTCCTCGGTGGTCGTTCCGCTTTTGCTGTTCGACCCCAGTGGCGGGTCTCTCGGTTTTCGAGTCCAATGGTTGTTCAGCTTTTGATGTTCGACCCCAGTGGCGGGTCACTCGATTTTCGACCTCATTGGTCATTCGGTTTCATGTGTTCGACCTCAGTGACAGGTTGACGGAAACAGCCCGAAGAGAAATTTCACTCTTGGATCGAGTCATGCTTACTCGACCAAAGTGGGGGGACTAGATGATATAGGATATTATACACTAGACCGGTTTTAATGGATAAAAAGAGAATATATTGAAAAATAAGCCTATACATGGCTAGGACACGTGGCATGATGCTATTGGATAAGCCCAACTTGGGCCATAAGGTACACTCCCCCTATAAAATGGGGCTAAGGTATCTCATTCTCTCTCTCTCTCTCTCTCTTGACATTCATAATTATAATCTTGGGATTTGGAGTGATACTGACTTGAGCGTCAGAGGTCCGACGCCGGGACCCCTCCCGGCGTTGGGTTCTTGTAGGTTCGGTAGCCGTCCGAGTTGAAGGAGCCCGGGTGAAAATAATATTCACTTCAATATGTAATTATAATTTTCAAATAAATATTTAGGAAGAAAGGGCAAAGTTTGAGAATTTGCGAGATATAATATAAACAATTTTAAGTTTTTTTAATAGTTTATATAAAACGAAGTTGAACATTATCTCTATGTTCTCTTTTATAATTAAATTTATTGAAATAATAATCGAGGATGGGGCTATTGCTGATCAAAGAGGACAATATAATTTGTTGCTTGTGCACTTACAATCCTTTAATTTCATCTTTTGCCTTCTTCTAATTTGGCAAATTTTAAATGTAAGGAATGAGTTATCACTAGAATTATAAAGGAATGATCAAGATATTTTCAATGCTATGAATTTGGTCAGGGCAAGTAAGGCCGTGCTTGTTTATAAAAAATAGAAAAACACTGTTTGTTGTTTTTTCGTTAACTAGAGTTTATTTGAAAAAAAAGTTAATATGATTAGTTTTTAGTGAGAATTTAAGAATGTATTAAAATAGTATTTAAAATAAAATGATAAACAACTCCAAAAAATCAGAGAGAAGAATGTGAATGGAAAATTTTCTTGCAGAAGATAAATTCGTATGTAATAAGCACGACATAAAAAATTTCGAGTACTTTTTTATTTTATATTGCCCTGGCTGATAAAAGTTTCTGTGTCCGCCACTGAGTTAATTCATGATGCATATTTAGTTCATTCATAGTGCATATTTGTAATATTTAAATTAAATATATAATGATGCATATTTAGTTCATTGATGATGCATATTTAATTCATCCATAATGCATATTTATTATATTTAAAATATATGCATGTCCACATAGTTCATTCGTGATGCATATTTAGTTCATACGAAATGTATATTTAGTTTATAAACAGCGCTTGCTTAGTTGATATTATTAGTGCATCTTTAGATCATAAGGAATGCAAATGGAATTCATACCAAACGCATATTTAGTTCATATTAAGTGTATAGTGTTGAATGCATATTTACTTCATACATAATACATACTAAGGTCACCGTGTCAATGTTGGAAGTCAATGGGTCTCGTCGGAAGGCAACGATCACCGTTGAAGTCAACGGTCAATGGTCAAATAATATTAAAATAATTAAAATAATAAAAATAAAGAATTAAATAATAAAATAAAAAATTATTATTTAAATAAAGAGTTAAATCTTGGCCATCTAATGGCTAGAATTGAGTCTCACATACTTATTTTAAGAATGTGTCCTCATTGGAACAAATCTCTCTCTATATATATATATGTGTGTGTGTGTGTGTGTGTGCGTGTTGTGTGTATTAGAATAAATATTTTGAATTAAATGTTTTGCAATACAATTTTTTATACTTATGTAACATCCACGTTGTCATTTATTATGAAATATAGTAAGTGGATCTGGAAACAGAAACACAAAGGCCACTTCTTAGTAGCATCTGCCACGTGTCATTTATTATGAAATATAGTAAGTGGATTTGGAAACAGAAACACAAAGGCCAATTCTTAGTAGCATCTGCTTATGCTCCACTGATCTTGGAGAAAATGCATCAATTGGATAGACCTGAAGGCAGTGATACTAGAAAGGCAGACATGCAAGCAAAAAGCAGAACCTGGAAACTGAAAGTGAAAGAAAAGATTAAACACTTCATTTGGAAGTGCTTCTTATTAGGGGATTTACCAGTGGGTCTCAATCTTATCAGAAAAGGGCTGCATGTTGATTCGGTCTGCCATACATGTGGAGAGGAAGAGGAGTTTACTGAGCATATTTTCTGGCACGACTGCAAAGTAAGAAGAGTTTGGAAGATAACACCTTTGAACTTGGAAGGGATAATCACAGCATCTTGTACTTTTTGTGATTGGTGGTGGAAGTTGTGTTCTCAGAGCTATAAGAACATTGATAAAGGCAGAATTCAGCTCTCAATATATTTGTTTTGGTGGTTGTGGAAAATCCCACAACCTTTAGATTTTTCAAAAATTGTGGATCCCAGAACATTGCTTGGTGAAATATGTTGTGAAAGAGTGGAGGGAATTCAGCTTCATCAAGAATGTCTAGGGATTTGTGGACTAATTGAGAGAAAATTAAGGTCTTGTGACTGTGCTTTGTTCCTGTTAGTTCACTTTATTTTAGTTTGTTTCTGTACTGTTAATCCAGCCACCAGTCATCAATGTTGACAAAGAAAAAAGTGGGCTGCTGATTTTGTTGAAAAATTGAGTATACAAATGTTGGAAAAAGAAATGTGCACTCCCACACTCTATAAATAGAGGGGATTATGATGAAGCAAGACACAAAAATTTAAGAAAAAGGAAGAGAGTGAGCAAGAAAAATAGTTTAGCCTTTGGGTGTATTGTGAGTGAGTTTGAGAGTGTTTTGTAAACACGAGTTATTTCTTTTATCCGAATAAAATATCTGCAGTAGTCCGGAAACATAGGCATTATTGATCGAACTCCGTTATCAATTTAATGTGTCTAAATTTTCTTTTTTATTTCACTTTTATAAATCCGACTTCATGATAAATTCAACGTATTTTTCCCAACATGTACTGTGTAACTATAGGATTTCAACTTTTTTGTTGTCTTTAGTTATGTTGTTTTGGGGTTTCTAAACCACATTTGTGTGGTTCCCTCATTTCCCTCGATTTCCAGTGGGTTTATACCCGTTTGTGTTCTTGAACTTTGTAGTTTTCCACCTTTGCTACTATTGAGATTCCTGTCGGTTTTTTTTTTCTTTTGTTATTTATTTATTTATTTAATGCGTTAATGGGATTGTCGTATTCAATTCCCAACAAATATTCTAATGAAACTCCGATTGTTGATTGTAAATGTACTGTCAAAAATATTTTGTTCGTCATTTTAATTGTATTAATTGTAAAATGTCTCCAATTTATTTCTCAATCAAAGTCACGAGTGACTAATTTTATTTAACCACTCCTAGACGTAAACAATATACTACACAACTAGTACTCAAACTTTCACCAGTTAGGCAAATTGGGACTCTGCCACTTACTGATTACATATCATATACTATGCAACATTTTGAAAATATATAAACCCCTCCCCCCCATCCCCACTTTTTCTCTTTTAAATGCAGTACAAGAAAACTACAAATTGATCTAAACACTGGCTGCTTATTATCAACTGGATACAGCTTGATGAATCTTAAAGATACATATATCATTCACAACTTACGCTAGCGCAACTCAAAGAAGTGCAAACAATTATTTCTCAAGTAATTTGATTGATTAACCAACTACTTCAATCGACCAACAACTGTTTGACTAGTTAAAAGAATGATTAATCAGCTACACAAAAAAAAATAAAAAAAAAAAATGACCATGTTGGCCAGAAAAACCAGCGATTTTCCGTATAATTATGCCTCAAGGTAACCTTTTGTTTCCAAGAATGAAACCACTTTTTCAGCCTGAACAGTTGGACTCTCACAACTTCCTTCTCTTTGTTGTAATACTATCTGGGTAAGTGAACATCATCACAAGTTCTAATAGTATCAAAATTACATCGGCAAAAGGGAAAAGACAACAATGATTAACGACAAGGGTCATATTGTCAAATATTTTTCAAAAGACTATGCATCTACTGCTTGGAGGGTGATCATTTCAGTAAAATTCAACTAATCAGAGCATAAGCACTTCATATTCTTTACAAGGACAATGCATGGCTGAACTATATTGATCAACATTTATTGCCCCATGAATGAAAATAGACGAGGTGCATACCTCAGAGTTCAATGGTGGCTCATATGGATCATCAACACCTGTGAAACCTGTACAACACAAACCAATACAAGCCGATATCTAAGAGAAACATTGCATTGATCACCAAACAGCTGGTTTTGATGCCTCACAGATGATAAACATNATGTCTTTTTTTATGTATGTATGCGTGACAAATTAGACAAACAAGTCAAATAAAATTACAAGAAAAATTAATTCAAAAAGGATCTTCAGTCCAATGAATCCAATGAAGTGTCTTTAGCAGCATTAGAATGAGAATGCCATAATACTTGCTGATTTAATTATTCCATTCACATAAATGATCTAACACAAAGGCGAAATCGAACAAAACAGCCAGGTTTATATTATATAATCCTAGTTGGCACACAATCTACGAAACAAACCTTTGATCTTCCCAGATCGTGCAAGCTTGTACAGACCTTTAGGGTCCCTTGTCTCGCAGACTTCTAGGGGTACATCCATATACACCTTCATAATATGTCAAACTATTTTTCGTTAATATTATAAACTTTTTAGTTATATTTTCACCACAAAAGAGCAAAATTCGGTCTCAAAAGTTATTTTCCACGTGCACAAATTTGACAGGTGCAGAAAGAGTAAACCTCAATAAAATCTCCTTCTGGAAGTAAGTCACGGCACTCATCTCGTTCCTTCCTGAATGGTGATATTAGACTCGCAATGCAAATGACTCCAGCATCTGCAAAGAGTTTAGCCACCTCGCCTGTTTATGGAAGGGAAAAACTGATTCAAAACTGAAACGTAAAAAAAAAACAGGTCTCACTAGAATGACAAAGTCATATAGTTCAGAAAAAAAGTCAAAAACTAACCGACCTATCCTTCTTATGTTCTCAGCTCTATCTTCGGCTTTAAAGCTAAGATCACGGTTGAGACCATGCCTGCAATTATCCCCATCAAGGATGTACGTGAGCTTTCCTCTTGCATGTAAGGCACGACTTAAAGCACAAGCCACAGTGCTCTTTCCTGAAGGGAAATAAAATGATGAAAGAACTAATTACATATCACAAAGGTCATTATGATGGGGGAAGGAAAACAAGACAGAAGAATTAGTTATATGCAAATAGAAAAAGAAGAAGATTTCTATGACAGAAAGGAAAAGGGAAAAGGAAAGATGTGGAACTAATCAGTTTACTCTTTTCCTCACTCAAAGAATCAATTTGAAGATGAGTTAACCAAATGCAGCAAAATTCAGACTCCCAATTTGTACAAAATTACAACCCACGAAAGTGACAGATATACAAAAACCATCAGCAATAAGTTTATTACACTGATTTTCGACAAGCATGATCTCATTTTTCTACTCAATATTAATGAATTTTCACAATAGTCAAGCTAAAGAATATTATAACATGATTTTATCAGAGCATCTCAGTTTCAAAATGCAGAAATTGTAGTATCTGGCTCTTGATCACACCCAACATAAACATTAAAAAATAACAATTGAAATAAATAAAGAAAATAAAAAGGTAAATATAAAATACATGAGCACACACCTACCTGATCCACTTAGTCCAGTAATCCAAACAACACAGCCTTTCTGGTTGAGCAAAGCCTGTCTGTCATTTTTTTCTACGGTACACTTGTGCCACATGATATTTGACGAATTTCCAACACTAGACAGCTTAAGCATACTTTCCCCTAGACGATTATTTATGGTT